GTTATACCAATTATTTGTTTGTTTTTAAAATGTATAATTCCTAGAATCATCATTGTGCTGCAGGTCCTTTGCAGAACGTCGCTTTCATCGCGGTCTGCCACATGTACTTTCATACTCAAGGAGTCACTCATATCTGTGCCCATCTTGTGTTGGTCAGTCCCTGCCCCTCCTTCCTGGTACCATGCCTTCTGCTATACTTTTTTTATCATCCGTCACAGCGCTTGATATGACTAAAATATTTCAGCTTCCAAGACAGGATGCTGTTTATTAGCCAATCTTCCTTGATGTTCAGATCTTTCAAGATGTCAGTATTTCTCCTCTTCTTTGTCCAAGATATTCTGAGAATCTTTCTATAGCATTTCAGCTCAAAAGCTCCGATTCTCTTTCTTAAGCACAGGGAGATAGTCCACGACTCACATCCGTATGTTGCCACAGGGAAAATGCATGCTCTCAAAATTGTGATCTCCTTGCTGGTGCTTAATCATAGACTTATAATGCTGTATTCTGAGGATAAATATGGCTAATTAATTGTGAATGGGTCTGGGTTAGACCAAGTAACAAACTAAATAATGAAGAGAAACTCTACAATACAAACCTGGTGTGTAACTGATGGTTAGAACTTGGAAATGGTGGGCCCAATACTCTGAGATTTTTATTGCTTCGGAGGTACAGCTCACTGGTCTGTGATGGTTGCTTGCCTGGTGGCAGACCCTGGGGTATCAGAGATAACAAGATTTAATAAGATGGTTGCTTGCCTGGGGGCAGACCCTGGGGTATCAGAGATGTCAATAACAAGATTTAATGAGATGGTTGCTTGCCTGGGGGCAGACCCTGGGGTATCAGAGATAACAAGATTTAATGAGATGGTTGCTTGCCTGGTGGCAGACCCTAGTGTATCAGAGATTACAATAACAAGATTTAATGAGATGGTTGCTTGCCTTGGGGCAGACCCAGGGGTATCAGAGATTACAATAACAAGATTTAATGAGATGGTTGCTAGCCTGGGGGCAGACCCTGGTGTATCAGAGATTACAATAACAAGATTTAATGAGATGGTTGCTTGCCTGGGGGCAGACCCTGGGGTATCAGAGATAACAAGATTTAATGAGATGGTTGCTTGCCTGGGGGGCAGACCCTGGTGTATCAGAGATTACAATAACAAGATTTAATGAGATGGTTGCTTGCCTGGTAGCAGACCCTGGGGTATCAGAGATGACAATAACAAGATTTAATGAGATGGTTGCTTGCCTGGTGGCAGACCCTGGTGTATCAGAGATAACAAGATTTAATGAGATGGTTGCTTGCCTGGGGGCAGACCCTGGTGTATCAGAGATGACAATAACAAGATTTAATGAGATGGTTGCTTGCCTGGGGGCAGACCCTGGGGTTTCAGAGATGACAATAACAAGAATCTGTCAAACATTTAATGTGATGATTCAGTGATATCTAGTGATATACTAGCGGCTACAACACAGAGAAAACATGGGGTGGTGGAAGAGGGGGGAGGAAGGTGGCGCCCCCTTAATTTGTTTAGGGGGGTTGGGGGTCTAAGGTTTTAAGCCCTGTTTGTGATTAAAAATAATGGTAATAATAATTGGCAAATTAATATATCTGAAATAAAATGATGTGCATAAACACACACACACAAAGAAAACTTCAATACATGGTGGGGGTGGGGGAGGGGGCAGCTAAGCTTCCTTACATATTCAAGTAAGCTCCCCCCCCTCCCCCCAACTTCTATCTCAAATAAATGGTGAGGGTGGGGGGGGGGGGGGGGTGGGGGGGCTTGAAAGTGGCTAAGCTCTGAGGTTGCAACATCTCTGCACTGTAGCCATCTTTATACTTGACACAGAATTCAGCTGTGTGATTCTGGCCTGCATTTGTGTAAGATCTACTTTCTCTTGAGGCTCCAGATCATCTGCCAGTTATGTGCTAGCAGACCACTCTGCCTTGATTTCAGCAATGGTATGAAAGCTGAACCTTCAGAAAGCAATGGCAAACCACCACCTATTAAAATCACAAGAATAAACAGGTTGACTGTTATGTCCTGTGCAGGATAAGAATGTAGCTTTACTTCCTCTAGACTGAGTCCAACAAAAGTAACCAGCTCTGGTTACCCATGACAAATCTACGTCCCCAGACAGTTTTGCCACAGCAGGAATCTTATGGCCTGCTCTTAATATCATAGGCATTTCAGTGATGCAACGTGCACAAGGGAGCCTGAATTTGTGCCTGTATCTAAGGTCAGATATTCGATACAACTACCCAAGAGAGCAGGGTAATAAGAGAAATAGCAGAAGCTGAAGGCATGTTTAAATACAAAAAGTCCTACGCTGGAAGCATCGCCATCATAAACATCTTTCAATGACAGGCTCACTAAAGCCAGCATACTTGGCATTAGAACAAATACTGTAGCTTCCCATGACACTTCATGGCAAGGCCTCGACCAACATAGAGAACACTCCACTGTTGGATGGACAAGAAAAGACAAGACAAATCAAACATTATAATGCCTCTTCTTCTTCACTTCCTATTTTACAGCTTCGGGTGTCAAGGGAGATATCAGCTTCTGCTTCTTGCTCTTCTGGCATTTGATACTGCCATGATCGAAGACCATTTGCTAAGTTCATCGTGTGTCATATTCTTTGTAGCGATAACAAATCCACTGCCGGTTTGCCAGGTGTGTCACAACTTTACCAGATCTCCGTTGGCCAGGACGTTTCGGGGTAATTTTGGAGATGACCCAGAATGGTTTCCATGGCTACCACACTGATCCATGTTACATGGACAAACGATTCTTCACCCAATCCTAGCAATCCCTTACTGCACCCTATTTACCACCTGTATTGACCTACTGTCGGCGTCTGTGGCTTAGGCGTTGCGAACGCGCTTGGCAATGTCGGGGCGCTGGGTTCGATCCCTGCTGCGGATGGTTTGTCTTGCGATGGTTTCGACTGTGGTACCGAGAGCCAACCATCCAGAAAGCAATGGCAAACTACTGGACGTAAATTTGCCTAGAAAAACCACAACAGCCAAAAAGTGCCGGGGTTGGTTCTGCAACATCCTGTTAAAGGATACGCAACTAATTTGATTAATTATTGACCTGCTACCCCCATCAAGGTGGCAAAATGGGTGAGTTTAAAAAAACATGAAGGAAAGTTGGCAAATCATGGTGTAGTTTACAGCTAGGCTGTAATGTCTGGGTTTTTCAGCCCAACAGATGCGATTTCAACGGACCCCGATCAGTCGTCTTTTATGACATGCTTGTAGGGAGGCAGCTGGATTATTCTTTTTGCCGAAAAGGTTAGACCTCAAAAGCCACATAGGGAGAAGCATGAAAAAAGAGTATGAAACAGTGAAGCGCTACCGTGTTGATTCTAGCATGGACATGTTGGTAGACGCCTCGCTTGGGTCCTATAGATGTCAACTGCTGCTTTGTTAGCATCAACTGAAATGAAATCATGTGTATTATTACAAGGTAGAAGTAACATACTACCTATATGATTTTATGCATGTGGAAATAAAAAAAGAAGCTTTTTTCAACATATTTCAGAATTAAAAAAAAAATTATGTAAGTGTTACTGCTGCTGTTCTCATAGAACAGTGTTATGTCCTATGGTAGCCGTGGCAGTGTTATGTCCCATGGTAGCCGTGGCAGTGTTATGTCCTATGGTAGTAGTTGCAGTCTGAGTGTTATGTCCCATGGTAGCAGTGGCAGTGTTATGTTCCATGGTAGCCGTGGCAGTGTTATGTCCCATGGTAGCCGTGGCAGTGTTATGTCCTATGGTAGTAGTTGCAGCCTGAGTGTTATGTCCCATGGTAGCAGTGGCAGTGTTATGTTCCATGGTAGCAGTGGCAGTGTTATGTCCCATGGTAGCCGTGGCAGTGTTATGTCCCATGGTACCCCTGGCAGTGTTATGTCCCATGGTAGCCGTGGCAGTGATATGTCCCATGGTACCCCTGGCAGTGTTATGTCCCATGGTAGCTGTGGCAGTGTTATGTCCCATGGTAGCCGTGGCAGTTTTATGTCCTATGGTAGTAGTTGCAGCCTGAGTGTTATGTACCCCTGGCAGTGTTATGTCCCATGGTAGCCGTGGCAGTGTTATGTCCCATGGTAGCAGTGGCAGTGTTATGCCCCATAGTAGCCGTGGCAGTGTTATGCATGTGTGTTATGTCCCATGGTAGCCGTGGCAGTGTTATGTCCCATGGTAGCAGTGGCAGTGTTATGTTCCATGGTAGCCCAGTGTTATGTAGCCGTGGCAGTGTTATGTTCCATGGTAGCAGTGGCAGTGTTATGTCCCATGGTAGCCGTGGCAGTGTTATGTCCCATGGTAGCCGTGGCAGTGTTATGTCCCATGGTAGCAGTGGCAGTGTTATGTTCCATGGTAGCCGTGGCAGTGTTATGTTCCATGGTGCCGTGGCAGTGTTATGTCCCATGGTAGCCGTGGCAGTGTTATGTCCCATGGTAGCCGTGGCAGTGTTATGTCCCATGGTAGCCGTGGCAGTGTTATGTTCCATGGTAGCCGTGGCAGTGTTATGTCCCATGGTAGCCGTGGCAGTGTTATGTCCCATGGTAGCCGTGGCAGTGTTATGTCCTATGGTAGCCGTGGCAGTGTTATGTCCCATGGTAGCCGTGGCAGTGTTATGTCCCATGGTAGCCGTGGCAGTGTTATGTCCCATGGTAGCCGTGGCAGTGTTATGTCCCATGGTTGCCTTGGCAGTGTTATGTCCCTATGGTAGCCCTGGCAGTGTTATGTCCCATGGTAGCCGTGGCAGTGTTATGTCCTATGGTAGCCGTGGCAGTGTTATGTCCCATGGTAGCCGTGGCAGTGTTATGTCCTATGGTAGCCGTGGCAGTGTTATGTCCCATGGTAGCCGTGGCAGTCTGAGTGTTATGTCCCATGGTAGCCGTGGCAGTGTTATGTCCCATGGTAGCCGTGGCAGTGTTATGTCCCATGGTAGCCGTGGCAGTGTTATGTCCCATGGTAGCCGTGGCAGTGTTATGTATGTCCTATGGTAGCCGTGGCAGTGTTATGTCCCATGGTAGCCGTGGCAGTGTTATGTCCCATGGTAGCCGTGGCAGTGTTATGTCCCATGGTAGCCGTGGCAGTGTTATGTCCTATGGTAGCCGTGGCAGTGTTATGTCCCATGGTAGCCGTGGCAGTGTTATGTCCCATGGTAGCCGTGGCAGTGTTATGTCCTATGGTAGCCGTGGCAGTGTTATGTCCCATGGTAGCCGTGGCAGTGTTATGTCCTATGGTAGCCGTGGCAGTGTTATGTCCTATGGTAGCCGTGGCAGTGTTATGTCCCATGGTAGCCGTGGCAGTGTTATGTCCTATGGTAGCCTGGCATGGTAGTCCTGGTAGCCGTGGCAGTGTTATGTCCCATGGTAGCCGTGGCAGTGTTATGTCCTATGGTAGCCGTGGCAGTGTTATGTCCCATGGTAGCAGTGTTATGTCATGTAGCCGAGTGTTATGTCCCATGGTAGCCGTGGCAGTGTTATGTTCCATGGTAGCCGTGGCAGTGTTATGTCCTATGGTAGCCGTGGCAGTGTTATGTCCCATGGTAGCCGTGGCAGTGTTATGTCCTATGGTAGCCGTGGCAGTGTTATGTCCCATGGTAGCCGTGGCAGTGTTATGTCCCATGGTAGCCGTGGCAGTGTTATGTCCTATGGTAGCCGTGGCAGTTTATGTCCCATGGTAGCCGTGGCAGTGTTATGTCCCATGTGTTATGTCCCATGGTAGCCGTGGCAGTGTTATGTCCCATGGTAGCCGTGGCAGTGTTATGTCCCATGGTAGCCGTGGCAGTGTTATGTCCCATGGTAGCCGTGGCAGTGTTATGTCCCATGGTAGCCGTGGCAGTGTTATGTCCTATGGTAGCCGTGGCAGTGTTATGTCCCATGGTAGCCGTGGCAGTGTTATGTCCCATGGTAGCCGTGGCAGTGTTATGTCCCATGGTAGCCGTGGCAGTGTTATGTCCCATGGTAGCCGTGGCAGTGTTTATGTCCTATGGTAGCAGTGGCAGTGTTATGTCCCATGGTAGCCGTGGCAGTGTTATGTCCCATGGTGGCAGTGTTATGTCCCATGGTAGCCGTGGCAGTGTTAGTCCTATGGTAGCCGTGGCAGTGTTATGTCCCATGGTAGCCGTGGCAGTGTTATGTCCCATGGTAGCCGTGGCAGTGTTATGTCCGGTAGCCGTGGCAGTGTTATGTCCTATGGTAGCCATGGCAGTGTTATGTCCCATGGTAGCCGTGGCAGTGTTATGTCCTATGGTAGCCGTGGCAGTGTTATGTCCCATGGTAGCCGTGGCAGTGTTATGTCCCATGTGGCAGTGTTATGTCCTATGGTAGCCGTGGCAGTGTTATGTCCCATGGTAGCCGTGGCAGTGGCAGTCTAGAGTGTTATGTCCCATGGTAGCCGTGGCAGTGTTATGTCCTATGGTAGCAGTGGCAGTGTTATGTCCTATGGTAGCCGTGGCAGTGTTATGTCCTATGGTAGCCGTGGCAGTGTTAGTGTAGCCGTATGTTATGCCCTATGGTAGCCGTGGCAGTGTTATGTTCCATGGTAGCCGTGGCAGTGTTATGCCCTATGGTAGCCGTGGCAGTGTTATGTTCCATGGTAGCCGTGGCAGTGTTATGTCCCATGGTAGCCGTGGCAGTGTTATGTCCTATGGTAGCCGTGGCAGTGTTATGTCCCATGGTAGCCGTGGCAGTGTTATGTCCCATGGTAGCCGTGGCAGTGTTATGTCCCATGGTAGCCGTGGCAGTGTTATGTCCTATGGTAGCCGTGGCAGTGTTATGTCCCATGGTAGCCGTGGCAGTGTTATGTTCCATGGTAGCCGTGGCAGTGTTATGTCCATGGTAGCCGTGGCAGTGTTAGTCTGAGTGTTATGTTCCATGGTAGCCGTGGCAGTGTTTATGTCCTATGGTAGCCGTGGCAGTGTTATGTCCTATGGTAGCCGTGGCAGTGTTATGTCCCATGGTAGCCGTGGCAGTGTTATGTTCCATGGTAGCCGTGGCAGTGTTATGTCCTATGGTAGCCGTGGCAGTGTTATGTCCTATGGTAGCCGTGGCAGTGTTATGTCATGTGGCAGTGTTATGTCCCATGGTAGCCGTGGCAGTGTTATGTTCCATGGTAGCCATGGTAAACCATGTTCCTATGGTAGCTGGGCAGTGTTATGTCCTATGGTAGCCGTGGCAGTGTTATGTTCCATGGTAGCCGTGGCAGTGTTAGTTCCATGGTAGGTGGCAGTGTTATGTCCTATGGTAGCCGTGGCAGTGTTATGTCCCATGGTGCCGTGGCAGTGTTATGTAGCCGTGGCAGTGTTATGTCCTATGGTAGCCGTGGCAGTGTTATGTGTCCTAGCCGTGGCAGTAGTCCTATGGTAGCAGTGTTATGTCCTATGGTAGCCGTGGCAGTGTTATGTCCTATGGTAGCCGTGGCAGTGTTATGTCCCATGGTAGCCGTGGCAGTGTTATGTTCCATGGTAGCTGTGGCAGTGTTATGTCCTATGGTAGCCGTGGCAGTGTTATGTTCCATGGTAGCTGTGGCAGTGTTATGTTCCATGGTAGCCGTGGCAGTGTTATGTCCTATGGTAGCCGTGGCAGTGTTATGTCCCATGGTAGCCGTGGCAGTGTTATGTCCCATGGTAGCCGTGGCAGTGTTATGTCCTATGGTAGCCGTGGCAGTGTTATGTCCCATGGTAGCCGTGGCAGTGTTATGTTCCATGGTAGCTGTGGCAGTGTTATGTCCTATGGTAGCCGTGGCAGTGTTATGTTCCATGGTAGCCGTGGCAGTGTTATGTTCCATGGTAGCCGTGGCAGTGTTATGTCCTATGGTAGCCGTGGCAGTGTTATGTTCCATGGTAGCTGTGGCAGTGTTATGTCCTATGGTAGCCGTGGCAGTGTTATGTCCCATGGTAGCCGTGGCAGTGTTATGTCCCATGGTAGCCGTGGCAGTGTTATGTCCCATGGTAGCCGTGGCAGTGTTATGTCCTATGGTAGCCGTGGCAGTGTTATGTTCCATGGTAGCCGTGGCAGTGTTATGTCCTATGGTAGCTGTGGCAGTGTTATGCCCTATGGTAGCCGTGGCAGTGTTATGTCCCATGGTAGCCGTGGCAGTGTTATGTCCCATGGTAGCCGTGGCAGTGTTATGTCCCATGGTAGCCGTGGCAGTGTTATGTCCTATGGTAGCCGTGGCAGTGTTATGTCCCATGGTAGCCGTGGCAGTGTTATGTCCTATGGTAGCCGTGGCAGTGTTATGTCCCATGGTAGCCGTGGCAGTGTTATGTCCCATGGTAGCCGTGGCAGTGGTATGTCCACGATAGCCTGGCAGACACTCCCACACCAAGTGTTTGTCCCAAAAGTGTTATCTCCTATGGTAGTACCCATGGTAGCCGTGGCAGTATCAAGCTGCAAAAGTGTTACAGCTGAGGTAGCCGTGGACAGTGTTTGTCCTATGGTAGACGTAATTTTATCAAACCTGGTAGCCATGGCAGTGTTATGTCCCACCCTGGCAGTGTTACGATGAGTAGTTTACATGTTCCATGGTAGCAGTGTTATGTCCCATGGTCTGAGTGTTATGTCCTATGGTAGCAGTGGCAGTCTGAGTGTTATGTCCCATGGTAGCCGTGGCAGTGTTATGTCCCATGGTAGCCGTGGCAGTGTTATGTCCCATGGTAGCCATGGCAGTGTTATGTCCTATGGTAGCCGTGGCAGTGTTATGTCCTATGGTAGCCGTGGCAGTGTTATGTCCCATGGTAGCCGTGGCAGTGTTATGTCCTATGGTAGCCGTGGCAGTGTTATGTCCTATGGTAGCCGTGGCAGTGTTATGTCCCATGGTAGCCGTGGCAGTGTTATGTCCCATGGTAGCCGTGGCAGTGTTATGTCCTATGGTAGCCGTGGCAGTCTGAGTGTTATGTCCCATGGTAGCAGTGGCAGTCTGAGTGTTATGTCCCATGGTAGCAGTGGCAGTCTGAGTGTTATGTCCCATGGTAGCCGTGGCAGTGTTATGTCCTATGGTAGCCGTGGCAGTCTGAGTGTTATGTCCCATGGTAGCAGTGGCAGTCTGAGTGTTATGTCCCATGGTAGCCGTGGCAGTGTTATGTCCTATGGTAGCCGTGGCAGTGTTATGTCCTATGGTAGCCGTGGCAGTGTTATGTCCTATGGTAGCCGTGGCAGTGTGAGTGTTATGTCCTATGGTAGCCGTGGCAGTCTGAGTGTTATGTCCTATGGTAGCAGTGGCAGTCTGAGTGTTATGTCCCATGGTAGCAGTGGCAGTCTGAGTGTTATGTTCCATGGTAGCAGTGGCAGTCTGAGTGTTATGTTCCATGGTAGCCGTGGCAGTCTGAGTGTTATGTTCCATGGTAGCCGTGGCAGTCTGAGTGTTATGTCCTATGGTATCATGGTTCCATAGATCCTCTAGACACTCCACACCAAACCATTTTCTCAAAATTTTTCTTTATGACAATATCGAACTGCAAAAGCGTACAGCTGAGATACAGGACAGAGAGTTTTGGAGACTAATTTTACCAAACCTTCGGCGCTTAGGTAGCACACGATGACGATGATAGTTTACAAATCTTCACCTTCTCTCTCAAGTGACTGTTCTGTTTTTCCAAATCTCGAATTTTTGCAGTGAACTCCTCAAACTTCTCTTGAACTTCAATACTTCCCCCTCCCTTGCCTGCAAAGATAAAAACCAACATGTACCTGAAATCAGTTGTTTTTCTGAGGCAAAGAACAGAAACATCATTTCATAAACATTTCTTCATTTTGTTTTATTGTTAACAAACAAGATAATTACAAAGTAATGATCACTCTTTTATTATTATGTCAAATAACTGCTACTTCTCACATATCTATCTATAGTGACATTATCTATTCTAGATTTTGTTTTGTGTGTGTGCTTTTTTAACTTATAGAACTAAATTTCAGTTATTGTTTGACTAACTTTTTACTCTGGGACATCAGCGATAAACACCCGGTGACACAAAGTGCTACCATTCAGATGAGAATCACATATGGAGGGGTCCCAGAAACCCCGTTCAACCGTTAAGGTTATTTTAGAGTGACAACCAGGGTAGGGATTCACAATAACGAAATCCCCACACAGGGACAGGAATAGAAATAACAGAGGTTTCTTTTTTTTCTAAACAGATAAATAAGTGCTCCTTAACCTTATAACTGCCTCAACATCTGAAGCGGTTAAAACAGGAAGTGGAGCAGAAGTGCTCTTTGATATGTTTTTTGTGGCTTTTATGAGGAGTCATCAATTTTAAGGCCTAAATGACCTAATTAACTCTTTAGGTTTCC